CGGTACAATGACTTTCAGGTTCTAGGGGTTATTCTTCCGCATTAGTTTGGTTAGTTGTTTGTTAAAAACTTTGAGTTTATGGGGACACCATTTTTATTGTCATTTAAACATGCTTTTGTGTCTTTAAATGCTTTAGTTTTCATAATATTTATTTGTTTGGATTGTAGTATTGTTTCTCCCACCAGAGGATTAGTGTGTGTGCCAATCGTGACGATCTGAGTCATAATAAAAACACAATAATATGTCAAAGTAAAAATAATAGCTTAAGATGTACATACAAAAAGACATACTAATCCAAGATGTCAATTGCTCATCCTCATCTCTGATACCCAAATGCTACAGTACATGACACAAGCAATAATCGCTAGTAGTTTGTACTAGCTACTGCATCATGGAAAAGAAACAGAGTATAACATGAATACTAAGAACACAGATACTGCTAAAATAACCATACCTTGACCTTCATAAGCCCATAACGTACACTCATGTGCATGTTTAAGCAAAACTCGAACTAATAGACGTACGCCTAAAAGATATGCAGAATAGTTAAGTCCATTACGAGAAGAGTATCACAAACCTAAAGATGGGATCCAACCCCAAATAACCATCATATACAATCAACTCCAAGTCCTGATCGCAAGCCTGATAATCGATCTAGGTCGCCTAGGCAACTAATCCATTCATGTGGGTGTAACTAGCGCAGCTAAAAGGGATTGGTTCAAAAAATTATACATACACATGCGATATGGAAACAAATTTAAAATTACATTTTGACTCAATAGAGCAAACAAAATTTCCATACAAGGTCGTCTTGACAGAATATGGATCCTATACTGAACCTAATTTCAAGGAAAAATCCATAAATTGCTCTTAATTAGCATGACGGCCTCGAGATCTAAATAGCAGGTCGTTCTAGACCAAACTCAACCTTGTAAACCTAAATGAGTAAGCAAAATTCTCATTTGAGCTCATCTACCAAGATTTTGACAAATATCAAACTTAGGTCTTCGCTTTGAAGTTAAAATGTTCGATCACACCGACTCGTATTTAAAGACTCACGAGTAACACCTACATTGATACTAGCCAAATTTGACCCTTACAAAGTTTATGAATTGTCAGAATAGGATCATAAGGTCATTTCTAAAACTTCTTATCAAAGTTGACCTTAAAAATTTCAAAAGCTTAATGACAAACTTACATATAAATCAATCAAATGACGAACTAACCATATTTTTAGTTCCAACAAGTCATAAAATTATTTGGGATCTCTTTAAGAATGTTTTAAATGGCAAATAGGTTACATAAATACAAAATAACCTGGAGATCATTAATATATAGTCTACTAAAAAAGACTTTCATCTGCGAAAGTAAAAGTCATGAAGTATATCAAACTTGATCTTCTAGGTAGACTCTTCAACCTGAAGATGCCTCCAGTAGAGCTTAACAATAAGACTGCTATGTAAGATAACCACCAAACATCAAATTCATACATAAATTATACAATAGTAATACATATTAAAATTGTCAAAAATCTACATTGTGATGACTATCAAACTCATAAATTGTACTTATACAATATTATTATACCAATTCATATATAACTCATACAATATTAATACATAATACGATTGTCAAACAAAATTAAAAATTATAATCATATACATATAACATTTTACCCAAATTTCAAATTATGTGTTTTACTTACCTTAATCACTTTTTTGACTTCCTTGGAAGTATGTACCTTTGACTCCTATCTTTTTTATAATGTTCTTGTTGATTGACCAAATTCAACATTTCTTGATTTTTTTTTATTTCATCATTTTATTTCATGAACAAAGTCAGAATCAGATGTTGAAGAGGTCTGAATAGTTTTTGCCTTACTCTTCTTTCCTTTCTTTGGAGACCTCTTTCCTTTGCCTCATTTTTTTAGTCTTTTTGAAACTTTGATTTAACAAAACTTCCACTAACTTTCTTCGACATTGTATAAGAACTTAAAATAAAATATTTTATGAAGATTATAAAAACGGACAATATTGTTGAGTGGTGTTTGTGGAAGGTTTGGATTGGGAAACGGTAAAGTAGGAAGGTGATAAAATTAAATCCCTAAAAATATGTAATTTATTTTTTATTTTCAAAAAGATAACTGTAAACTAATAATATTAATTTAGTATTTATTTTCAAAAAGGTAACAGTAAACTATTGATACTTAATCTGTTTAAAAATTTAAAGAGTTTGTTTTAAAAATTGTAATTTTAAAAATAAAAATAAAAATTTAAACATATTAATTATTATTTAAATTATATTATAATTTATTTTTAATTAAATATATTTTTAATTGATATGCTATAACTCGAAAATAATCTGATATAAGTAATGATTTTTAAAAAGTATGTTTATAACTTGATATATATAGTCTTAAATGTGTACAGGGTGTGATTTTATTTTTACTAATACTTCTATGAAAAAGTAGTTAAAATTTTACAAATAAATGTGAAAAATTGAAAAAAAATTAATTGCAAAGACAATATAGAAAAAAATGAATTAATACTTTTTTGATTTATTAAGATAGACAACTAATATAAAATAATTATTTTTTAATAAAATAGTTAAGAGAGTGTTTGAATTGGCTTAAAAGTTGATCAAACCTACTTTTAAGTGACTTTTTATTTTTGAAAGTATTTGACGAATATATAAAAAATAACTTGAAATGAGTTAAAATAATTTAAAATAAGTTTTGAAGTATTTGATAAAGTCAAAAGACTTAAATAAGTTTAAAATAACTTTAAAAAAGTCAAAAATCAAAAGTAGGTCTCCCCCACCCTCACCCCCCTTTTCTTTTTACTTAAAAATCTTTAAGTTGATTTTTTTTATTCTTGACTTAAAAGGTACGACCCTCTAATCTCTATGTTCCTAATTAGTTGTCCACTTTTGAATTGACACACTTATTTAAAAAACAATGATCGACATATTGAGTTTATAGCGTTACCCATGTTAATTATAAAGTGGATGAATGGATCATCTTTTTACAAGAATATTAAGAAATCATAAATAAGTAGATAATTTTACTAATACGTCTATGAGAAAAATTTTAAATTTTACAAATAAAGTGAACAATTTCAAAAAGTTAATTGCAAAGATAATTATAGAAAAAAAGTGAATTAATATTTTTTGATTTAGTAAGATAGAGAACTAATATAAAATAATTATTTTTAGTAAAATGGTTAAGAGAGTGTTTGGATTGACTTAAAATAGGTCAAACCTACTTTTAAGTCACTTTTTATTTTTGAAAGTATTTGGCAAAGTAAAACAACTTAAAATAAGTTTAAAATAAGAGATAAGTGTCAAAAGCACACTTAAACTATTCACTTTTTTTGAGTTTCATACCTAAACTATTGAAAGTGTGAGTTTCATATCTAAATTATCACTTTTAGTTTGAGAAGCACATGTCAGTGGTGTGTGTAGTGCACTCTCTCTTTTATATGAAAATTTTTTGACACGTGACATTCCACATAGATTAAATATTTTATCTAGATAAAAATAAATAATAAAAAATTAACATTAATTAAAAAATAAACATTATTATCCATATAAAAAATTAAATAATTTTTCTTATCTCAGTCCACCACCTCATCCATGTACACACACACACAAACTGAATTAGGTGCTCCATGACCTACCAAAAGATAGATAATTGAATTAGCTTTCCATAGCCACCAACCTTGCTAAAATTAGACTTCCGAGTAAAACGTTATGACCGTTTTAGTAAAGGTCTGTCAAACAGGCCAAACCTACGGACCGTCGATGGAAAGACGGACCATCTGTCCAGGTCGTTGTTTGGTCGGACAACACTTTACCCAAGGGTCTTTTGATTTTTTTCCCACTTCGTTTAAATCTTAAGATACGTCATTTTGATCCTAAATCATCAGATTTTAATCAATTTAAGTCTAGAAACATAACTAGAACTTACCCCAAGTCAAATCATTAATCAAAACTTAAAAAATTAGAAACAAGAAAGGAGAAAAAGATCAATAACCCTATTTCAAAAATATAAAACCTCTTTGAAATTTATAATTTAATATGAGATGTAACTTTGGAAACATTTCAAATTGTGACTTTTGCACTTTTTGATTATTTTAATACCGTCCAATAAGCCTTAGTACTAAGATATTTTTGGCCAAAACTCTCTTTCCCTGCGCGTGGCCAGCAATGATTCACCTTCTTTCTAATTTCTTACATTTTGGCCAAACAAATGGTGTCGCGTGAATAAGCACTGCCAAGCCAAACCATGGTTAGTCATCTCTGTACAACCCCACCAAATGAGGAAAATATCTAATCTATGTATGTATGCACCTCACCTCCCCAGAGACTAGAGAGAAAGCGTCTGTGCGTGTTTCTCTCATGTACGTTTATGATTGAATCGACATTAGGAGCATGGAAGACACCTTTAAGCGCCACCGTCAAACCCTAGCCAAACCTCAATCCCTCACCACTGACGACCGCCGCCGCCCTCGTGACCTCAGTACAGAGGAAGGCAACTCCGATGTGTGGAACAACTTCTCCAACAGATTCCGGCAGGTGCAATCGGTGTTGGATCGGAACAGATCGTTGATACAGCAAGTCAACGAAAATCATCAGTCGAGAACGACTGACAATATGGTGCGGAATGTGAGCCTGATTCAGGAGCTTAATGGCAACATTTCTAAAGTAGTTTCTCTCTATTCTGATATTTCTACCAATTTTTCAACCATGTTTCGTCAAGGAAACGACTTCATTGGAGACGACACCAACAACCACTGATGCTTTTCTCTTCTCCAGTCTAGTTTATAACATCCTCAGTAATAATGCCCTAAGAGGTGCAAATTGTTTTACAACTGAGTTGATGTTGCTGTGAAATCGAGTACTCTTAATATACTCGAATTTATCTTTAACTTTTTGGGTCATAGCGTGTGTGTGTATTTCATAAGCATGTTTGTATTAAATTACTGAGAACAAATTGGAAATTTCAACAACGTATCTTTCTCCTATGGTACATACAACAGAGAATTCATTCAAAATCCTTTACGAAAATAAATATAAAAGCAAAGGTTTTATTACAATTTTCATAAAATGATCCTTGTGTCTATTCTACGCAGCAGTTGTGATCTTGTTTCACGAGGGTTGTTTTAACTTTACAAGCAGCGAAAGTCCCATTGAACATTTCTTGACAGTGTATGAACCTGGCTTTAGCGTGAGGTTAAGCACTTTCAAGCATTTGATGTATTCTGATACATGGAAAATTGAATCACTGAGGCAGATCTCCACTATTTGTTATTCTAACTTTGCTTTTCGGGGTTCCACTTTGTCTGCCTTCAGCTTCAATTTTGTGGACAACATCCATCCCAGACAGCACCTTGCCGAAAACAACATGATGTTTGTCCAACCTAAACATGGGATGGAAGTAAACATTTTGAGAAGTGGCCCAAAATTGAAAGTTGAGTTGAAGATAAGTTGCACAAAATCAGTAACTTAGTTGAGTACCAGCTAGTCGTTACAGTTGTGATAAAGAATTGAGATCCATTGGTGTCTGGTCCAGCATTTGCCATTGACAAGATACCTTTTCCCAAAACAAGTCTTTCAGTGGATAAAAAACCAGTGTGGCCAAAAACACTTCCAAAGTGCAAGATCAAATAAAACACAAAAGACAGCAACAACCAATTACTAATGAATAGTTAAATCTCACCAGGTTCAGTGTGTTTTAGATCAAAGTTTTCATCTGGAAAGCTTTCACCATATATTGACTCTCCACCTCGCCCATCACCACGGGTGAAGTCACCTCCCTGGATCATGAAGCTTGGTATGATCCTGTGGAAACTGCTACCTTTGTAATGGAGAGGCTTGCCAGCTTTCCCTGTTCCTTTTTCCCCTACAAGTTGAGTGATAAATGTTTGCCATATTTGTAACTTCAGTATTAGTGTGCATAGTGGATGTTAATGCAGTAGAAAGCTGGTGAGGCTTCATCATGTTTATGCATTAATTTTCCATCTATACAACCCTCCTTGTCTGATCTTATTCTAGCCATGAGACACCCCCGCCCCTCCCTAAATAGCTAACAAGTAGTATCTGAACTCTGAAACCATTCATGTCTAGAACAGAAATTTAGGAGAAGATGAATGCTAAAGGGGCCTTCATAGAAACAAATAGATAACAAAAAAAAAAACCTCATGCAAATCTAGATGTGTGTCTTCAAACAAACCACTCAAGGAAGAAAGAGCATGTTGGCCGGCCCTTGCATCAGCAATGACCTGTGCCAATTAGAAATATCTGCTTTTGGCTCCAACATACCTTACAGGCTACAAGATGGACATGAGTTTAATCCTTTAGGGGTCGTTTGGTAGAGTGTATTAGGAAAAATAATGCCTGCGTTAGCCTTGTGTATTGACCTTGTTTAGTACACTTTTCTAACCAAAGTATAACTAATGTTACACTCTATTGTGTGTTCAAGTGTGTATAGCTAATACCATGGTTTTCTAGGTATTAGCAATGCAGTGGTTTTAATGCTTGCACTAAGCATGATTAAAGATTCAATTGCCCCCCTCAACACCATTTTTTACATCTTTTCCACCATAATAGTGGAGGGTATCTTTGTATATAATTTTTTTATTGCAATGCATGCTATTTATAATGTATCAAACCAAACAATGCATAAAAATAATCTATGCAAAATTAATCCAAGCATAACTACTACATGCATTGCTAATACAAACATTACTAACACACTCTATTTAGCATTATTCTTATACACACTCTTACCAAACGACCTCATACAGTATAGGAGTTCTCATTCAACCTCACGCGTAATGAAAGAAATCTTCAGTTATTTTTTTGTCAATAAACTGTAACTAGCTTTGGTATTGCTTTAAATTGCTGGTTCACTTCTAAAGTAAGTCTCGTTATCCAAGAGCACAAATTTATAAGAATTTCCAGAATGGTATCCTCATTAACATGATGTTCAAATAAAAAGTACTGTATTGGATATGAAACTCTTGAAAAGATGGAACTCAAGGAACAAAAGTTTATTGGTTACCTGTGCAAAGAGCTCTGAAGTTTTCTGCAGAAAAAATAAATATACAGCAAGTTCATCATTGTAGTTTACCAGATAATGTCCAAAGACAAAAAGAGCCAACATAATTCAGCACAAGATGGAGTACCTGCTGTCTTTGGGACAGTTTTCCCAAAGAGGCCCATGACAATACGACCTGAAAGAGAAGTATCAATGTGTTCAAGATTAAGTTCAGAAGAAAACCAAAACAAATCACAAGAAACTCTTCCACCTATGACTACAACTGAAATAGATCTGACAATCTTTAACAATCCTGCCTCAAACTAAATTAGATTTATCTAGAATTATATGTCTTATGAATAAAACATGGTAAGAACAAAAAACCTAAGCCGAACACATATGCGGCCCTTAAACTGGCCAGGGTCACAATTTTGTAAAAACATTTTCTCAAGAAAAACAAGTTCCTCATAGATAAGGAAAATGACTTCCCTGGTGAAAGTAAGGAAAACAAGTTTCATAAGTGACATTTGATTGTCTCCTCCCCACCCGCACCCTCACCTACCCCCTACCCTTATAGTGTTTGCCTAGATTATACATAAATGTTTTTGAAACAATATTTTCTACTTAATTGCTAAACACAAGAAATTGAGTAAGAATTACTTTCGAGGAAAACATTTTTTAAAAAAAGAATCTAACTCAAAAATGTTTCCTTCATACCAAACACATCTTTAGTGACAACTTCCAACCCCATATGGTTGCAAGCTAATTTGACCAAAAGTCCTAATTTATCCAATGCATCACCATGATTCTACTACATCCATAATTCAACATGCAAGCTAATATCTTTTCATTAATCTAATTGGATTTCTTCAATACATTGTAAATGCAAATTTCCTAATTACTTTTGTACTTAGTCATGAAATAAAATTTGAAAGGCAACATAGATTGCCAGTGAGTAATGTAACAACTAGATAACATTCATTTGAAAACGAGATACATTATTTCGACAGGAGCAAGGGTAGATTGTTCATATTTGTTATCATAAAACAGTGCAAAGTTGTTTGATTCATGTAGTCATGAAGGAATTATTAAGCATGAATCTTTCATACAATAAATAATATCACGGGAACTGTTAGTATGAAATCCTCTTATCATCATTGTATTTTCTTTACATACTCGACTTATGATATGCATTACTTAACTAGGTAGGCATAAGGCTGCGAACACGCCACCCTCCCAAACCTCACTTGAGGGATTAACACTTTATATGTCATTTTTTGAATTGTTATGCATGATTACTAAAATATGAAATGTTATGCAGGTTACCTACTTTAAGATATTTTTGTATTGAGATCTTTATGCATTGCTAATACATATATTCTTATTCCACGTTATGTATCCATAAAATAATACATAGATTCCCTCATAATTACGTGTGTATTAAGTTTAATACTGTCAACCAAACTTTGTATAAGTTGAGCGAGATTATTTATGCAGCCTGCCAAGCACTATATTATTTTGTGCACCAATATGTTTCTTATGTGACTTTTGTTTTTATATTAATTTTGTGCAAGGATACCTCTATTGATGTAACCAACTAAACATCCATGGACATGAAGGCTAACTGAACTCCCATCTTGAAGAGGGTACAACTTTAACATTGTTGGGTTTAAGCAAGGTGTGAATGGGGAAATAAGAATGAATGAGAAATTGGGAAATGTGGGAACCAATTTGGAGTAAAAATTTCTACTAAGTAATGATGAAAATTCCATCTTCTATTATGTACGTGGTGAGTGAAATTGTGATGCATTTCTTACCCTGTTCTAATAAGAAATCTTAAAACATTGCCCTAACCATTTAAACATAAAAGCTACCTCGTTCATTTCTCAAACTTCTGTTTTCCTTTTTCTTTCTGGTCAGACATGAAAAAAGAGAGAAGTCCAAGAGTAAAAACCACCGGTATAATTAGAAGAGTACATGCCAGGGGTAAAGCTTAGCTTCCACTGTTCAGTTATCAAATCAATCCATCTATTAGAACAGGAACATAGACAGAAAAGTATGATCTAGCATCTACATTCGGAATTTTTTCTTCTTTCCAAGAACAAAACAAAATCACCTACAACTCTACATTATTCTCAACAAACAGTAAACTTGAAGAAAAAATACCAGTAGGTTTTCCATTAATTTCGACATCAAAGTATACTTTATGCGTCACCCGCTCCAAATCCTCTGATGTTTTTGCCTGAAGTAAAAATTATGCAATCAATAATAATACGAAATCCTATGGTTCGGAGTCAACAAAATACTAATGTGTAACGTGTAAAACCCAAAATTGAACCTCGATTTTAATGTCTTTACCATCTGAGGAGACTCCTGAATCACCTAATCGGTTCTGAGAATACAATTAACAAGACAAGTAATGTTAGTAGTAGAAGAGAACAAGTCAGAAAGAGAAAGGGTTGGGGAAAATACCAGAATGAAAATTAGGGTTCCGAATAAAACTAGAACCCAGACAACAAGGGAAGGAGATAATTTGTTTCTGTTCGCCATTTTCTTTTCCTCCGGAAGTCTTCACTCTAGGTCGGAACTGATCCAATTGAAACACTAAGGGCCCGTTTGGCCATAAATTTTCCAAATAATATTTGGGAAAAATTTGGCAAATAATGTTTGTTCATACAATTTGCCATTATTTGATAAATATTTTTGACAAATATCTCAAATTTTCAAATACTAGTTTTTTTTAGTATTTGGGTCAAATCTCATTATTTGGGATATTTTAAAAATTAAAATTTTATCCTAATCTTTTATCTTTTACAAAAACACTCTCTATAGTAGTTGCTTGCGTTGTATTACATCATTTTTTACGTGAACACCAAAATAGTGATGAAATATGTAGTGAATATTAAATAATGATATGATTGTTGATGAAAATTATTAAAAATTGGCTTTAGGTAACAAAGTCATGTACTTTGTCTACTTCACGATGTATGGAATAATTCTTGTTGCACTCGCTCCAAATTACCACATTGCTTTAATGTCATAGACATTATTTTGTTATTGTTGTAACGAACATGCATTGACTTGTAATACAAACTTTTAGTTAATTTTGATAGTTTTTAAAACTTGTGTGTTATAAATCATATTTTTCTAAAAAGGTGAAATATATTTCCCAAATTTTATGGCCAAACACATGGTGAAATTTCACCCAAATTTTCACTCAAATAATATTTGCCAAGAATATTTGAAAATCTATGGCCAAACGCTAGCTAAGAAAGATCAAATTAACTTTGACCTCAGTTGTGAAGTTTGAGTGGGTATACAAATAGTTACTTAAATTAGAGTTAAATTATAACAATTTTAATTAATATATTAGAATGTAGAGAAAATTAAGGGAAATGTGTCCAAAAGTTGTTTTTGTTTGTGGTGATAGATTGACCAAAATGTAATTAAGTAAATATGGGATCAAATTAATATTTCTAAAACTTTCTAATCTCTTATAAAATACAAAAAAAATACATTTTTATAATTCAAATCAAATCATTTAAGAAAAAAATCTTTTCATCTTTTTCCTCTCTTCTTCGTCTTTTGGGGATTGTTCTTCTTTTTTCTTAGAAATTTGGAAATTCGTCTCTTGTTACTCTTCCTCTCCAAACATTGTACTCTTCCTCTCTAGTCCTCCACCATTATCTTCCTCCCAGTCGTTACTCTCTCATCTGTAATCGTGTTCGACTAGAAATGGGTAAGTTATTTTTTTGAAATATTTTATAATTTTCGAAGTTTTTTTTGGATTAATGAACAATAAAATGTTCAGTAGATGTAAAAATTGAATAATCGACTTAATGGTGTGTATTATTTATAATTTTTTAAAGAAATTCAACCAACCCAAAAAAATCCTCATTTGAGAAAATGTATACGTATTGTTATCTCAGCGAAAAGTAGTTTTTTGTTGCTGTTGTCGTTCTTTTTGTGGCCATTTTGATGATATGATTTTAGAAATATAGTGTTGTTCAGGTGTCCAACATATATTTCATTTGTTGAAATATTTAGCGTATGTTGCCACATTTTAGTGATATGTTGGTGCATATTCAAACAGTTATTATATGTTGTAACATCTCACTTTAGGTCAACAAAATGGTCATTTGTTGTTACATAAGATTCATATGTTGCAACAATCGGTATATTTGTGTCAACATATGATTCATATGTTGCAACAGAAATTTTATGTGTTGCAACAGTAGGTACATATATGGCAACATAATGTTAATTTATGGCAATAGAGTATCCATGTGTTGCAACATACTGCTATTATTATTTTATAATGAACTGTAAATTCTCAATCTTTTTTTATTCACCTTGTAGATGAAATGATACAAGAAGCTTCATCCATGAAAACAACTCAATCTTTTATTTGTGGTGCTTCATCTTCTAACATGAAATGCACTTTTTTTCTATGCGAAGAATGTGAGTAGCAACATGATTATTTTATTAGTCGTGTTAAAAAACTCAGGGATATTTTTGAGAAAATGTCTCATAATATTGATGTGCAAAGATCCAAGAAGATTTCACAGCCTTTAAAGTGTAGGAGGTTGAAAAAAAACTATTTCCCAAACACTTAATATAATTAGTGAGAAGAAAGAAAAGGAGAAGAATGCAAATGAGGAGAAGGAGAAGGAGAATAAGGAAAAAGAGGAGGAGGAGAAGAAGAAGAAGGCAAAGGAGGAGAAGGAGAAGGAGAATAAGGCAAAGGAGGAGGAGGAGGAGAAGGAGAAGGAGAAGAAGGCAAAGGAGGAGAAGGAGAAGGGGAATAAGGAAAAAGAGGAGGAGGAGGAGGAGAAGAAGAAGAAGGCAAAGCAGGAGAAGGAGAAGGAAAAGAAGGCAAAGGAGAAAGAGAAGGAGAAAGCAAAAGAGAAGAAAGTCGAAGTCGTCAGTTGTGATGTGAAGCGACAATATTCATTTGAAGGTTTTAACATTGACGGCGAGGGTCCAACTGAACTAATGTCATCCTTCTCGCAATGAATAAACGAGGGTTTTTACAAACATCATGCAAAAAAGAAGGTCGTTCAACTATTATTAGTATTTCTTCTTGTTGTCCACTAAATTATTATTTATAATGATTGCACAATTGTAGAGGAAACAAGGAGGATCACTACTTAGTCAATTGCTCAAAACTTGATTTTGACTAATTCGATTTTGTAGTTGCATTTCCAAGGAATAAGGACTGGCTCTACGTAATGTCTCAACCCAATAAGTGCTGGAATGATGAGGTAAATCCATGCCCACTTTTATATGTATTGTTTAGTACATGAATATACACAATTAAATTGATACACTTGTTTGATGCATGTGTGCAGTATGATGATGTCATATTTTACTATTTGTGTAAGAAGTTGAAGCAAGAGATTCAGTCTAAATATCAATATACCACCACTAGTTTTTTTTTCAAAACATACATTGACAATGCTAGTGAATATGAGGTTAAAATCGTTGGCATAATGAAAGGGTTTTCTATACCTTGTGGACTGCCTTAGCACTTGGCAGATGATGTTTATGTCCCTGTAAATATTAATAAAAATTCCATTGGGTCTTGGCAGTCGTTGCATTGAAGGAACGATGCATAAAAGTGTATGATTTCATGTCCTCAACTAGGTCTAATAGAAAATTATCCTCCGAGCTTAAAAAGTTGTCTACAATGTTGCCAAAGTACCTTGAGTTAAGTGGATTTTTTGTGCAAAAAGAGCGAACCATTGTTAAGTTCTTAAATGTTACCAAGGAAAGAACAAATCTCACACATTCAAAGTCAAACATGTTACTGGTATTGGCCAACAAGAAAGCAATAGTCTGTAAGTATCACATTATTTTTTATTTTTGTCTTACAACTATCGAAATTTGATGTTATTATATTTTCTGATTGATGATATGCCATGCAGAGATTGTGGACTTTATGTTGCTGCATACGCTGAGTTTTTGAGTGATGGATTAGAAGTACCATCATGTGAAATTAGTGCTGATACCCTTCGCTTGAGATATGCTTCACTCCTATGGAATTATGGGATTATAAAGGCTCGAATTGGCTATGTTAGTAAAAATGAAGAATCAAAGATGCCTAAACCTAAAAAAAGCTAAGATCGATTAAAATGTTGTGTTCACAACCATTGATTAGATAGGTGATTATGTATATTATATCATTGTGAATTACCTTTTTGTTGATAAGTTGTATAAAATAATTGGTGAAGTGTTAATATAAATGTAGTTTAATCCTCCCTTCATTTTCCTTCTATCCTCGCTCCTATAAACGTAGTTTCATATTTCAAATTCGATTTATTTTTATTAATTTCAATTTTTGTGCTGATAATATTAATCATCACTTGTCTGCATGTGTACTAACAGAAAGGATTCATGTGGCAACATATAACACAAAAATAAAATATGTAGCAACATTATAGTACATATATAATATATGTGTCCCAATTGAGTATATAAGAAATAATCTATGAAACAAATTTCTATTAAAAAAATAAATATAAGCTTTACAATGAAAAAAAGAAAACTGAGAAATAACAATTGAGTACATTAGTTAATGTTGTACTATGATGAAAAATAAAACACAATAAATAAATAATATTTATTAATAATCAAAACTCTAATATATATTTATACAAGTAAAAATAATAGGTAATAATAATTTTAAATAGATTCAATAAGAGTAGTATAAAATAATTAATAAAATAGAGGTATATTTTGTAATAAATTTCTAAAAGATTATCTATTCATATATACGTAATATATATTTATACAAGTAAAAATAATAGGTAATAATAATTTTAAATAGATTCAATAAGAGTAGTATAAAATAATTAATAAAATAGAGGTATATTTTGTAATAAATTTCTAAAAGATTATCTATTCATATATACGTAATATATATTTATACAAGTAAAAATAATAGGTAATAATAATTTTAAATAGATTCAATAAGAGTAGTATAAAATAATTAATAAAATAGAGGTATATTTTGTAATAAATTTCTAAAAGATTATCTATTCATATATACGTATTTTTTAAATTTAAGTAATATTTTATTATTGACAACCAAATATCGTTTAATCATATAGACATTAAAGAACAAGAGGAAATTGAAATATGCAGCTATATGCATATATACTGTACATTATTGATGCATGCAATATTAAAAATAACAACCATAAATGATAACATTAACTTCTTTGACAAATTAGTAAAATAATTATTCTACTTATGTTATCAAAATGAGCTTAAATACAAATCTGTAAATATCTAGATTAAGAAAAATAAATATTATATATAATATAAATAGATATTACATAGATGAAAGATTGAAAATGTCAAGGATAAAGGGTGTGTTTGGTATTAAGGAAAATATTTCTCGAAAAATGTTTAATAATTTTTTTATATTTGGTTGGGTTAAATATTTTGAAAATATTTTTTAAATCAATTTATTTTCCTCAAATTTAAGAAAATTACTTGCTTTCAAAATTTTAGTTTTTTCAGCTCCACCCTCGACTCACTCTCAAAAAATTCAAGTTTGTTTTTTAAAAATATTTTCAACTTAAAATTATTTTTTTGGCC